TAATTTTTTTTTTTTTTTTTTTTTTTTTTTTTTGTGGTGGTTTGACCTTTTTGACTTAATCTGAATACAAGACGACGTTTTTTATCTTTATCTTAAAAGATAAATGCAATGAATTGACGTCGAAAAAGTCAAATTTACCAACCCCTGACGAACTTTTTGCACCTACCAACACCTTGAGAGTTTTAAAGACATGCCCAAATTTAAAGCACCATAGCTTGATGTTTTTTTAACTGTGTGCTGACGCATCCTGATAATGGACTTGAAATTAGTCCAATCAGATTACGTTTCGACTTTCTAATATCATTATCCCCTTTATAATTGTACCGTATTAGGTATAAATACAAGTTCCCTCTAAAGTTTCCTCAAATAAGCCAAATCGGGTTTAAGTTTGCACTGCCAGGGGAAGAAAGAACGGTTTGAAATACTGCAGGGAAAAGATGAAGACGTTTTTGATTGTTGCCTTGTGTCTTAGCTTGTTGTTTGTGGGTAGGTTTTACATGTGCAAGTATAACGACAAATTGCTTGATATCAAAATGGAAATTTTGCATTTTTAAAATTGCAGGGCACTGATAAAAATTGTTCATTTTGGCGAGAAAAGTGCAATGATTAATTTATTTCCAAACATCATAAATGCATTTGATTACACACACACACTCACACACACACACACACACACTCACACACACACACACACTCACACACACACAAACACGTGCCGCATTAACACACACGTACACACAAAACACACACTGATATGTTGTATTCAGCGACTTTTATTTTATCGTTTACCCTTCTATATTTTACATTTAGTTTTCAATTCAGTTCATATACATGTCCTTTATATATTTAACTGATTAAACAGGACCCATTCAGAACCAGTTGAGGTGCGAACTTACTAGTCCGCGGATCAAAATGGCGCGCAATTGATAATGGGTTCCACGCACACTGCCCCAGCATGGGCAGAGCACTTAAATTTTGTCACGCCTTTAAGCAATTAAATTTCGTCACGCCATATTTGACTCGCGGATCAGTTAGTCCATGGATCAACTGGGTGTGAATGCTCTCTAAGTTTTGCATTCAGTCAGTCTTTCAAATAATACAGTGACAGGCCCGTAGCCAGGGGGGTTCGGGGGGTTCAAAAGGACCCCCCTTTTTGCTGTTAAATGGTCCACTCTAGGTAAAATTTGACCTAGGTACATGGGGATTATATGGTAAAAGGTCCACTTTTTCAGAAAAAAAGCCCTTTGAAATTGCTGGCTACGAGCCTGAGTGAGATATTCATCAATCCTTTCTTTGTATTTACAGCGAGCAACGCAAAGCCACCTTTCTGTGGCAAGAACGCGGTATGCGTGAGGTTTGAACCCGACATTCAGATTCGATATGACGGTGCCTGTAAACTACCAATGTGGGAGTGTCTGTGCCTGCCGTACTACTATGGTGACCCGTACGACGAATGTTTTCAGGGGGGGAATGGGAAAAGTATGTAGAGGATAAACCCACACTGCTTGAAAATCAAAACTAGTATCTAACAGTTATTCCATTTAAAAGTCTCGTTCTATAATAATAATAATAAGTTTATTGAGCACTGATTGATATGAATACATTTGCAGGATCACTAGACTACGTTATTTGCACAATATATAAGGATATACATTTACAGTATATATGTTTACAATTGTAGTATGCTAAATTAAACATGTGTTGATGCATGTTATGCTATAAATTTAATTAGTTAAGCTATTTACAGCATCATCAACAATTAATGGCTGTGATGTTCTAAATTGCAAGTGAACGATAAATTTTAACAGCAGTCTTTAAAAATTCTGCTATTACTTTGAGACTTTTTTCACAGATGGATTAAGGAAAATTGACAATACCAGGGCTCCGTATCTCGAAAGGTTCGCTATGTTGCGCACGTGCGCAAGTGTCTCGATTCCATAACCGATTCTGTCGAGATACGGGGCCATGGAATCGATCTACTTTTTTCACAGTTGAGAGTTAAGATAATACACGTATAATAAAAATTTATTCATTTGGTTTTATTTTTCAGAATAAAAGAAGGATGGGAAGCCGTTTAATGTGACACTGCCAAAACCACAATTACTATAACTTCACTGGGACAGACTGCAGACTAGAAAAATACCATGGTGTACTATTATTAGTATTAAGTTACTGTAAAATCTCACTGCAATAACCACTAAAACCATTGTAATTTGCCAAATATTAATTAACATCCTTAACAAACAATAATACGTTGGTCAAACATGCGAATTTTGTCTTTAAGGGGAACTGGAAAGTCTATAATAGGTAATAAATTGTTCGATGGAAACGAATATGGGTGTTTGCTTTATTTATTCTATTCATTATTATTCTACAAAAAGATTCCATTTTGTTGTTTATACGCTTATATCAAAAGAAATGTTACTGTAGCACAGGCACTTTTGAAAATGAATGATTACATGAGAAAAAAGGCGAAAAATGCATAAATGAATAGAAAATAAATGAAAGAAGAAATAAATAAATAAATAAACATAAACATAAATAAATGTAAGGTATAAAACTTGCTTTTTGAAACGGCTACTGCCACTTATGAAGCTTCATGCTCAGTTTTCATCTAAAGAATTGTTGAGTAATAAAGATACATGTGCACCGAATTTATGAATCAATCTTTAATAATAATTGTAATGATAATAATTATTATTATTTCTTAATAAAAAATGGATGTGCTGCCTAATACTTAGGTAAGTATATTTCTCAGTAACGATATGGGTGACGTTGAAATAATAATAATATCAATGATAATAATTTCATTGGTCACAAAATTTTTTATCATGAACACACTCTCTAAATTTTTAATATATATATATATATATATATATATATATATATATATATATATAGGCGACGAGATCTCTACCACTAATTGATTATTACCAGATATTCATAGATATACCTCTAGCTAATTCTGTACACTTTTCTCTATTGTGTCCAAAATTTCGGTATGGGGCCAATTTTATCAATCAGGCGGCATTTAGTTATGATGTAAATGAATAATAATAATAATAATAATAATAATAATAATAATAATAATAATAATAATAATTGCTGCTGCTGAATAACGGCGGCCATGCGAACATTGAAATTGGCAAAAACTCTTGCAATCATGTCAGTAGGACTGTTTCTTACTTTTCATCGTGTGTTGGTCTTTGGAAGTGTCT